GAGATCCGAGAGCGTGGCGAGGGCCGAGAAGGTGAAGTCGCGAAGGGAGACGAGGCGGTTCCTGTCCAAATCTAGGAAAAGTAGTTCCTGAAGAGGTTGGAAGCTTTGCGGGGATAAGGTGTTCACCCTGTTGTCGTTGATGATCAGGTACCGGACGCGTGGGGCTGATGTAAAGCAGGAGCCGAGGCGGGATATCCTGTTGTGAGACAGTCGAACGGTGTGAGCGTCTGGCGTGAAGGCGTCTGTCGGGACCTGCGTCAAGTTACGCCCGGTGTAGTCAACGGTCTTCCCGGCAGCAGTGGACAGCACAGTCAGCACGAACAGGGCAGTCAGCAGGGACCTCATATTCCATGCGTCGTGTCAGGAGTACTGGGCAGACAAGGGATCCCTGTGACCAGGAAGGAGAAACGAAGTGGATGACAAAGAAAGTTTGCCGATAAGGTTTCAGCCATACACAATTAGAGTACGCCTTTAGCCTGACTGCCAGATCACCGTAGGCTTCCCGGTATCTCTACGGAGCTCGGAGTACTGCCTGCCCGCTCAGGCCCCTTAGCGCACGCCGGTTTTTTAATTTACGGGTCGGCTTCAGTCAGTTCGCCTACAGGACGGCAATACATGTAGTTAGAAAGGCCGGCAGAACGATACAGACCAAAATACACATCTCGAACAGGCCAACGAACGTTTGCCTTCAGAGCGGTTTCCATCTATAACTCCCTCAAACCAGCGACAAAATTAGAAATCACTGAATTCATTCAAACAAGCCTTGAAATCTGACCTCTGACCCCTCTGACCAAAACAAGCAATGACTTACATGTATAGCTAGTATTTCATTTTGCAAACGGATTGATTTTGTTGTTTGTTTTGTTATATTTATTTGATTTACGTATGTAAAAGGCTCTGTAATTCTGATTTTGAGTTGATATTGTTCAACGTATTTTGAATTGTTAATGATTAAGTATTACTCCTATTCTCTTCTTCGCAAGCTCCGAAGAGAACCATGTTTCCCGTCTATTTCACAGACAAACACACACAATTAGGGTAGTGAGCTCACCGTCACAGAGGGTAAAGGGGCGGAATAATTAGTATCAGGGTAGGGGTCACGTGATTGTCTGTTCAGCCGACGGGAAACGAGATTGTTCGATTTTGTGCTTTATGTTGTACAATTTTAACGTTTTGTTGATTCATCTGTTGGATGTGGAGCCAGGGCCCCCTTGGAAATCAGTTGTTTATCAACTGAAGGGGCGACCCTCAAGATTAATAAATAAATAAAATCTAGTATGTCAGGAGAGGTCTATGCTAAAGCTAAGGTCCCAATTACGCCGGTGCCCGTCGGGGATGTAGCCCCGGCTGGCCCCGGCCGGGTTCAGGAGTCGAGCGGGCATCGGCTGTCGTGGTCACAATTAAAAGTTTCCTTCAGTAGCATTTTGTTAGAAATTTTGTCACCCTCTTTGGTCGGTATCCGGCAGGCACCCGGCAGGTACCCAGCAGATTCTCTGCCGATGTCTTGTATTGACCTATACGTAATGCAGAATTCACGTATTTGTTGTTATCATTTGATCTGTCAGGTCACACATTTTACCTGGGTTTACGAAGTACACACCTTTATTCTGTTCATCTGGTCTGTGACGTAAGAAATGTGTCCCGGTGAAATGCCGGCAACCGGAGGGGTACCTCTCGGTGTTCTCACGATGAGGTCACGGCGTCTTTTTGTCAGCGGGTCCCGGGTAGAATTTAACTCAGAATTAAATTCTTATCGGGGCCCCGACGGGCCAAAAAATAGCCCGGTAGCCGCAGAGTGCCCCGCGGGGCCACGTCGGGGTCCCGCCCGAAAGTGGTAAAAAACAGCCCGGGAACTACCCGCCAGGGCCCCTTTTCCCAATTGGGACCTTAGCTTTAGTAGGACTGGGGCCGATACTGGTACTGGTACTTAACTTTATTTGCTTCTTGCCTCAAATTGTCTATGGAAACTTACAGTATATACATTAAAATCAAACGTACATATATACATATAACATAATAAAGAAATTAATTAAAAGTAACTAAATGCAATTTATCAATTAACGTATAAGTAAATCAACTAAATAACATATAAAGGAAATTATAAATCATAAGGTAAGTAGAACACCACGAAACAATCTTATAAACCAATAGTAAAAACAGTTAAAACACTTAGAAGCCGGAAAAGCCGGCCTGGTATCCTGTCCGGTCAGAATTTCCATCATCTTTGCTCCTCCACCAAGTTACGGTGTAAACATTTTTGCTTCAGTGTTTCTATTTTACTATATCTCCTGGATGGCACAGCAAGTCAAACTCATCTACAAGTTACGTCATTTTTACCTACCGATTCTACAGGATTGGGCTGAATGGGCACGGCTCTCTTCCTCTCAGATACAACTGTTGTGTGGTGCCGTCTTGTCGGATAAAAAAATAGTTGGTTGCAACATATAATAGACGTTATAACGTCCTTGATAATTGAATATATTATAATACATTTCCGGACAGCAAACACGCGTCCGCGATAGTGATTGGTCAAAAAACATCGTCCGATGTTATTTTGTCCCAGTTCCCAGTAAATTGTCTGTTACCAAATCGTAAATAGGACAAGTGATTTTTTTCTAACCATGGACATTATACAGAACCTTGTTTCTAACGAAATGTAACTGGGACATGCGCACGTGTCCTAGCTGTTTTACCACC